GATGTGAAAGTTTGTGATCCCTTCCTATTTGAATACTTTACAAACATCAAATTTAAAGGATTCAGAGGAGAAACTCGCACTGAATTTGACTTCACTCATGCCAATCTTTCGTTTATGAATCTGTACGACTGGGTTTTTCGGTTTCTAATTCCGTCTAAAGAAAAAGAAAAGTATGAGCCTATTGTTTCTCACTTGAAGAGATGTTGATATTCTACATCCATTAAGTTGCGAAACTTGATCTGGAAATAGCTGTGGTTTTAAGGAAAAGGCTTGCCGTGGATCCGAAAGAAGAGACAAAATATTTTTAGTAAAGGAAACTGGGAAAGCTTAAGAAAGCTGACTGGAGCATCGTGTATCAAAGAGAAATGGTGATAAAGTTCATAATATTTTGTTCTTTCTTTTAGACAAACACTTATACTCTTCTTCTGCACTGAATCATATCCTGGAATAAACTACTGCGTGCAAACTGAACAATGAAGGAGATCTCAAATGCTTTAATGATATGACCAAACAATATCTATTGATCAGGAATTCATTGCTAAGTTTGATGCCCAGGCTTTTCAAGATTGAGAAAAAGCAACATTGAAGAATCTCCTATCTTTATTTGACACAAAAGAAGCAACATTGAAGTAATCATGGGAAGGCCTAGTGGTAAGTTTATAACTTTTGGGGCAAAGAGGAGTAAGCCAAGCGTACATGTGGGTACGTTGAGCGTACTAGGGTGCATCCTAGTACGTTGGGCATACAAGTATGTAGGTTGGGCATACTCATGTATGAAGGAAACCCTAAGTTTTAGGGTTTGTGAGGGTATTTAAGCATCCTTATGGCTCATTTATCCCCACATTTTCAAGCTCCAAAGGCTTAGAGCTATTTGCAAAACCGTAGTCTCCTAGAGTGAGATTGAGAGCCCTAAAGTGTGTTTTTGGTGTTTTAGAGGAAGGCGAAGTGCATTAACAAGCTTGGAAGCTTGAAGCAAGGATTGGATCTGGAAATTTGTCTCTCTTCTCCACCACCTAAAGGTATAAACTTCATATTTTTTATGGTTTATTTGATATATCTCATGTTTGGGGTTATGTTTCCTTTCGATCACAAATGCTCCATCTTGAGCATGGCATGTCCTAGGTGTTTTGAGTCGTATATTTAGACCCTTGGAGGGGTCCTTAGTGTGAGTTGAGTTATCCAATTTTGTAGATCCAAGGCACTAATCTCACTTAATTGGATGTTTATTTGTTGTGTTCATTATACTTACGGATCGAAGGCACCAATCTCACTTAATTGGATGTTTATTTGTTGTGATAGTTTAGGGAAATAAGTGAGCCAACAATCGGAGGTTTTAGTACGATTCGTTAGTGTGAGTTGAGTTGTCCTCACTATACTCTCGGAACAAAGGCACCAATGTCAGAATTTTGGATTTTTATATTGGTTTATTGTTTGCTTGCTAAGTTAGAGTGATCTGTTAGATTGGTATCCTGGTAGATAGGATGTGCTATGCTATAGTGATCCGTTGGACTTGTATGACTGCATGTATACGTTAGCTATGTTTGATTATGTTATATTTGGATATGTTATGGTTGGTTGGATTGAGGCGGTCCTACTATGTGCAGAAGACCAACAGACCCTAGGCGGCTTTGATAGACGGAAAGCCCATGAGGCAGACTAGTCAGGCTGAAGGCCCGGAGAGTGTATGGCAGTCCAGACATGCTGAAGGTTCTATATTCCTGTTGTTGATGTGATATCTAAGATTATGTGTTATGGTGGTATTTTGGGGAAACTCACAAGGATTTGGGCTTACAGTTTTACGTTATGTTTCAGGTACCTCATATGATCATGGGAAGGAAAGGCTTGATCGTACACCTCCTCATGTTTTGTTTCATGATTTTGGGATTACTATGATATTGAACCTATTTTGAAAAATATTTGTAACAATGATGACTTTTGGAAAAATTCTAAAAACTCTAAATTTTTCATGAATTTTATTTATATTACAAGTTGGTATCAAAGCCTTGGTTTGAGTGCATTGGAGGAACACTCGTGTGAATCTAGTCTTAAACTATGGAAAAGGATTTTCAAAATAATTTTCAAATGGTTTCCAAAATAATAGAGGGGATGCGAGGTGTACGATCATCCGGAGCCAGTAAGTAACCCTAAATTATCACACAAGTTATTTGAGATTATTTTATGTTATGATTAGAACATCATGCTAGTGACAGGATAGGGATCCTCGTGAATCATATGATAGAATTGCCTGATATTTGATGCCTTATCTCTTATAGAGTACCCTATTGAATGTTGCATGAATATTTCATGTGTGAACTAGCTATTGAATGAATGTGCTAAGTCGCATACTGTATAGGTTAAATGGTCTTGGGGTAGGAAAATTGTTTGGCCAATTGTCTGGGGTTCAGTAGGCTAGTTGTAATATGTATGGCCATCCTCTAAGATGCGAGGATCGAGCATATGGTTATGCTAGTGAGTATTTTTTTTGGCTGTTGTGATTATCCTATAATACAAATACGGGTAGGTGTGGAAGGTAGTATGGGCCCGTACTACTAAAAACATAGGACCCGTGTGCATAGTAAGGAAGTCACAACCCAAAGGGATTTGTTGGTAGTTGGTACCCTGTTTTGATATGCGTGTTATCCGATATCTCCCTAGTCTATTTTCAGTATGGTGACTACGAGGAGATCTGAGACTGGATCTGGATCACGATCAGGAACTGGCAGCCAGATTGGATCAGATGAGTTGGATGCCAAGATTAGGGAGATTCTCCATGGGGAGGTTGTGGATAATGTCTTGGATTAGATACAAGAGTTATTTGGATCTATTAAGACCGTGATGATGGAATTCTTTAATGAAAAATACGCAGTCGTTGCTGAGACTACTGTTGTTGTAGCCTCCACAGCTGTGAAAGTTGCAGGTGTTGGACCGGGTCAAGTTTTTCAGTATCGGGACTTTGATAATACGGAACCCCCTAAATTTCGATGGAGTTCAGGAAACGATTGTAGCCATAAGGTGGCTATCTGATGATGAGGGATGCTTTTTCACCTGCTCTTGCCCAGCTGACCAGAAGGTCAGGTGCACTCTGAAACTCTTGAGTTCTTGAGCGAAGGATTGGTGGAGACTTGTTATAGGATTGTATTCTACTGACCAGAAGGCTGCGGTATCTTTGGAGCATTTCATGGAGATGTTCTGTAATCGATATGTGTCGTGCATAGAGCACGAGAGGTTAGCCCAGGCGTTTTTGGATCTGAGGCAGGGTACGGAGTCGGTGATGGAAATCACTAAGATGTTTACTAAGACGCCCATGTTTTTCCTTGATTTTTCTTTGGATGAGGCTTAGATGACCTGTTACTTGATCATATTAGGTAGTTTTTTTCCACCCAGTGGTATGATTCCTTTCTGGAGTTATAGGAGGCCGCCGGACACCGTGAACTTTATATAGATCTTCAGTTAAGGGAGAAGAGACCGGACCCAACACATTCACATCCGGTTCCGAAGCAGTTGACGGCCACTGAGTCTAGATCTGGGCGATAGTGAGGCCGCACTTGTGGGAATTACGGTAGGGTTCATGATGAAGCGTACCAATTTGGTAGTTTGTGCCACAAGTGTGGCAATGAGGGGCACTATGCAAGAAATTATTGGTAGTTAATACTAGTTCAGAGTATGACGATTTGTTATCATTGTGATCAGGTTGGCCATGTGTAGCTCAACTATCCCTTGCTCGTCGTTAAGCTGGTACAGGCCCCAGCGCCAGCCATGCTAAGGATCACTGATGGACGTCAAGGGAGGGCGGAGCCCCCAAGGGCATGAGGTCGCGCTTTTTAGCTCACTGCTGAGGAGGCCAGAGCAGCACCAGATGTGGTGACTATTATGTTTCTATCCCTTATCTTGATAATTATGTTTTATGATATGCTTATTTGTGTTCCTTTGTTAGGTACGTTCCTAGTGAACTCTTTGCCTGCTCTAGTGTTGTTTTACTCGGGTGCAACTTTGTCTTTTGTATCTCAACCGTTCAATAGGGAGTTTGCTATAACCATTAGGGGAGTTAGAGTGTCCTTTTTGAGTCTCTATCGCCAACAAACACGGGGTTTCAACATCATCAATGTATCAGGTTTATATTCTGTAGAACTTTAGGGTTCCTTATCTGGTCGATTTGATCCCTATCCCCCATGAGGGATGTTTGCGTGATTGTGGATTTGGATTGGCTAATCTGTTTTGGTGCTATCATTGATTATGAGGGCTAATGTGTGGTAGTTCGAACCCTAAGTAGGGGAGAACTTGTTATCTATGGAGAGAGCACCAGGATGGGTTCAAGGTTTTCTTCTGCATCAAGGGCTCATTAATATATTAAGCATAGGTGCGCGTGTGTTGCGATATGCTGGAGAGGATTGAGTTGGAATTATAGGGAATATCCGTGCGGGTATCTTGTCCTATTATCACAGTACAAAAGAGAGAAACGACCGTTAGTCGACGTCCGAGAGGAGTTCGCGGGACGAAGCTCCGATGATCTAGTTAGTGTGAGATCTGAGAGAAATTATAAAAGATTACAAAAAAGAGAGAATTTTCTCTCCATTGTTGTGAGGAAGAAGGATACTTTTGTACAAGTTTCAGAGGCGTGTCCCTCAACTGATTTTGTTGAGCATTCCCTCGTGAGGAACGATATGGCGGACCCATATTGGAGCATCCTTCGTCACGTCTTTTTGCTCCTTCCCTCATTGGCTAGAAAGAGATCTTTTATTTGTTATGAAGATTGTGGCTATCGTCTAATGTGTGAGTGGGACTCTCTGATTGGTCCCATGTTTGTCGAGATATAATTACCTGGAGATGGGGTTAAGGCGTGGCTCTACACCTTAAATTCCATATTGGTGATCTTCATGCTGGTGAAGGCCCGAACTTAGCTATAGACTAGGCTCTGGCCAGTCCAAGCCTATTGTTAGTTTGACTTTTTTTTCATGTTCCCCTGAGGGATACATTAACAAGTCCCTTAGGCTTGTAGGTGTATGCGTCGGCTTGATAGCATCACCGTTCAAGCCTATATTTCAACACGTGTATGTCTGGGATCACTTGTAGCATTTGGCAAGCTTCAGGAAGCTCCGTCAATGCGTGTCACTGCTGTTAGGAGACGGTTCATGATGCCAGTTTCGCCTTTAAGGTCCCCCCCTTTTTCCCAGGCTTTTCATCCTCACATCCCAACTTTGGCTTTGTCATAACAATCCGGGTATTCTGTTAATTTCCTTTTCGATTGCTCATCCTTTTCTCGACAATGGATCATTATGGTACAATCCCTACTACAGATGAATTTCAGCTTCTGTAGGATTGCTTCGATTTCTTAGCGGAGCATGGTATAATGATTCCGACAAAGGGGGTATTGATGTATGATTGTCCTCAAGAGAAAGTGGGATTTATGATCCCTCTGTTCAAGGCGGCGTTCTGCTTACCAACATCCGATTTCTTCAACATGAATGTGGAACACTATGGCTTCTCCGTCGATGAGTTGACTATGAGCTTTGTTAATAAAATCGTCGGTTTAGAACTTATTTGTCGATCTTTGGGTTGTATACCCACGTTTTGGGTTTTCCGTTACTTTTTTTGTTCAACTACGAATTCTGATGTTCGTACTTTGACGAAAGGTGGTGCATTCATCAGTTAATCTTTGAACAAGATGTCCCGAAGAAAAATTAGCAAAGGCAATGGCTCTGGGTTAACCAGAACCTTGTGGGGCGTGGGTTTCGCAAAACATGAGACTTTCCTGACCGTCTTCCCAAATTGTTCGGGAGCAACCTAACCCTCTTTAAATGACTAGGAAACATCACTGTTGTTGGGGAGAACTATGAGGATTTCGTTCTCTTTGCGGTTGGTATGAGTGCCGCCTAGCGAGCTCGTGGGAAGATGGCGTAATTGTACATCGTGAGATGCAGTATCCACTCATCTCCTTCTTCCCCTCCCTCCTTTTTTTAAACAACAAAAGAAAAGGGTGTAGGAACAGGGTATCTTATGACTCCTTATATTCAACTTTCATTTGCATAGGTGTTGAAGCCGAGATTTTTTTGGAGATGGCCCTACGTGGTCACTACCGGGGTAGGCTCTATCATTAGGAGATCAATCTTGTACACGCTCTTCCCCCTCCTGTGTCTAAAAGGCGCATGCGAGAGATTGCTGGATTTCCCTTGGTTTAAGGGCAAATGTTGGTTCTAGTGGGCCTGCATCACCTTCCCATCCAGCCGTTGGAGTCATTTCCCCAGTTCGTTCATTGGCACTTGCTCCTTCTGGTTTGCCTGTGGTGGTACAAGCAAGAAAAGGTGGTGCTCCTATTCGGAAAATCCGAATTTTGCATGTGGTTCCATCGTCAGACGAGGAGACAAAGTCCCATGATATGGGCCTTCGTCCTCGTAAAGTACGCATGGTTGTATCTGTAGACAGGCTTCTTGGCGGTTTCGGGGGTATTCTTTGTGATCGATTTTATGTGCCTGAGTAGAAAGAGAAAGTGGTGGTGCCTAGTTCTCTAGAGGCGTCACCCTCATAATTTGTTGGTTCACCCTTGGTTAATGTCAGTTCCGAATCTATGTCTGGGGGTGCACTGAGTTCGCCCGGAGGTCCTTTTCAGCGTGAAAAGCCTTCCGTAGTTGATGAAATATGAACTTCATCTAAGTCCCAGTCTTCCGAGGCCTATGTTCCGGGCTAGGCGATTACTAGACATTTCTTACTGTCAGAAGACACTACCGCCCAGGAGTGGAGTAGATGCGCCCATCCTCCAGTTACAATGAGTTCGCTTGTGGGTCAATTAAGTTCCCCTATGGATGGTGACCTTTGTTATGTCGCGGCCCAGACTTCTGTCCTTGTGGTCGCTATCGCCGACCGGGTTTGGCGCATAGGTGCAAATGAGAGGAAGTTGAAAGTTTTGTAGGGTGTCTTGGCAAGCATAAGGGGGGAATTTCGTGATTCAGATGTGGAGCACCAAGTTCTTTATGAGCAGGACTGCATTGTGGCCTCCGAGAAGGCCGCTTTGGAGGATCAATTGGCCACGTTGGAGGTTCTTCCTCAAACTCCAAGGGTTGATTTGTGTTTTCCCTTTTTTTCGCTGTGTAATGTAGTTGCCGTCTTTTGTACTAAGTGTACAGTAAAAAATGTTCTTCGTTGATAACCATAAACTGTGCATTTTATTTTGTACTTTGTATGGAAGTGTTCTCTTCCGTTTTCTTTTTGTATGCATACATATTTGTGGCATGTTAACACTAATATTATGAATTGTCCTGTGGTGACTTTAAGGACAGGCTATTCTACTACACACTCCCTTGTTTTAGGGTTTGCGTTAATCGACTAATGTGTTATTCAGATGTCGCATAACTACTATTATTGAGCTATGCTCTGTTGACTCGCACATTTAGTTGGGTTTAATGTGTTAAGCCGTGAAATATTAGTCACTGTTGTGGACTGTACTATATGGTCTAGCTGCCAATACATAGGTCGAGATTGTCACCTCAAGACCTTTTACTGTTATATTATTAGGGGAAAGGTTATGAATCTTTTAGAACCCTATGCTTTGTGCCATTATTTTATATTTTCTCAAATCTAAGATGTTATTGGCACATTGTAGGTAGAGATTATGAATCTTTTGAGATATACGATTACATTCTTACATAGATTTTGCTCAAGCAGTGTAGGTGATCAGCCGTTGTTGCTACTTGGAAAATACACACAACCTCTATACTTTGTGTTTTTACGATATAGAATTCTAGAAGGCTCTTTCAAAATGAAAATTGTAATATTTCTAGAAAGAAAAAGAAAAAAAATGAGACAATAGACCCTGAACGTTTAAGTGTCAGGCTATATGCCCAGTTTTCGCTTTAGCGCCTGGAGTATGGTTATCATGTGCAGAGTTTGGCCATACTCCTTTTCTAGGCCTCCGCCTTATTTTTGATTGAGTTCTATACTATGGCTATCTCATTGCGGCTGTGTCTCATCTTCTGCATGTGTGTTTTGATATGTTGGGGTTTCTTCTTGTTTCTACCAACGGTTCCCATCGTGAGAGTGGTGAATTTTCTTGTGCATGCTTTCGGGGTGCTTGAACTTCCCATGCTTCGCATCACAGTGTGAGATGGAACTATGGGAAGTGTCTTCCTGTGGCTTGGTGAAAGTTCCACCCATGCTCTCTGGCGCACCTATCAACCTTGTGTCTCACACCGTCGCTTGGGATGTCGTTCGGTGCATCAGGGGCACTTGCTAGTTTTCTTCCATAGGAAAGCATACGTGGTGGGGGTATTGGTATTCTGCCTTTAACTTTGGTGCTTTTGGTGCTCACTTCCTTCATTCCAAGAGGTTTTGGCTCGTACTTTGCATTGGCCAAAACCTAATTTTGATTCCGAGTCGTTCTCTGGCAGGGCATGGCTCGACCATCATTTGTGGACCTGGCTAGTTCCCTTGCCTTTTAGTAGGCGTTTCTTTGCTTTGCGATTTTAGCTTCATACTCTAGCCAATTCATCCGTAGGTCAGCGCGTTTTTCTATCTGTGGATGAGATATCGTGAGCCGATTGAAAACATCTCTTTGCCTTTTCCTGGATTTGTGGGTCTTCGCGCGTGCTGTTGCTATTCTTCGATGTGGATCTTCCACCTTCTGGAAACCTTTCCCCCATGATAATTGGGTTTCTCTTCGCTTTTCTTGTTGGGTGTCACATCCATTACTCATCTTGGTTGCAACTACCGTTGTCGATTCATCACCCGTGCTGAATTTGAGAAAGCCATGAAGAGTAGATGGAATCCCTTACAGTTGGCATAGCGTTTTCTGTCCTAGTAGAATATTATAGTCAGCCGGGCAGTCGACCACTGAGAATTCGAGTGCCTTTGTTATCTGTTTGGTTCCATTTTGACTGATCAATGTAAATGGTAGCGTGAATGTTCGTGTTGGCCAGATTTCATGACTGGTGAACCCAACTAGCAGGCTTTGGCGTGGTAGCTGGATGTGCTTTTTCATTCAATTGGAAACTACCGAAGGTAGTGTTCATAAATCACGTTCACCGTGCTTCCGATATCGATATACACTTGCTCTAGATGGTTTTGGCTAGTGAAACCAGTGATATGCAAGGGCTCATTTGGATCCTAGTGCTCTTGTTGGGGGTCATGCTTTGAAAATGCTATATTGAAAATGTTTTGATGGTATACATGTGCGCCCGCATGTTGGCTCTAGTGGTTGCTACATGGGAAGGGCCCTATGATGGTAAGTATCTTGGCCATTCTTTCGTTATCCTTGATCATATCCTTTTGATTTTGGGTTGGTGCTTATCCATATCGAATTTCTCCCTAAAGTCTTTTACTTTGCCAACTATATTTCCTACTAGTTATTTCTAATCAATCTCCCGCTTCAATACTATGCACTCTTTGGTGTCATGCGTTTTGCTTCGGTGATATTCACAGAACTTGGTCTTGTCTTTGTTCTCCTTGGCTGGAGTCATATTGATTGAGTGGACATTGTTGTGGCTACTCCTACTATCATCCCTATTGAATGGTCGATACCACCATGACATGTGCATGGAATGGCGATTGTGTCTCTGCTGGTTACCATCTTGCATCTATTGTTGAACTGGGCTTGGTCGGGACACACCGCTTCCTCATGTTTGAGATAGGTGTTAGCTACAGGTTTGAGATTGGCCTCTTTTCGCTCTTCCACCTCGATTTGACGCATGTATTTTTCAACACGGAACTTGATTTCATCCCTGGATCTATGGACCGTTCCTTGCACCTTCCTCAATAGGGGTCCAGGAAGCAGACCTTGGGTGAAGGCGTCTGTCACCAGGAACTCTTCATGTCTTGGGAAGTTGAAGGTGGCTAATGTGAATCAGTCGTAATAGTCACGAATCAATTCTCCTTCTTTTTCCTTGAACTCCATCACGGAGTTGATGTCCCTTTTTCTTTTTCGCAATTGCATGAAATTGTTAAGGAAAAGGTATTTCAGCTTCTCAAAGCTTGAGATACTGCTTGGCCTTAGAGACTTGAACCACTTGCATGCGTTTCCTATTAGGGTGTAGGGGAAATATGTGCAGGTGAAGCGAAGATCCATCTTAATACATGTCATCATCCATTTATAGTTGTCATTGTGGTCATCTGGGTCTATAGTACAGTTATAATTTCGCTTGTTTGGTATCATCGCAGTGTGCGGGATCTCATACTGTAGGAGTTCATGGCTGATGTTTGAGCTTGCACTTCGTAATGGGCTTTCCATGTATGAGTATGGTATACCTCCATAAGCCATGTGTTGCTGCATATGGTAGGAGCTCGCGTACATCTGGTTATGCATGGCTGCTTGTGAGATCTATGGTTGGTACTATTGTAGGTTTGGTTGCAATCTAGAGTGTTGGATTGCATCTTGCCTTGTCAGGGGAGGCATATATGTGCTCGCTCCTGTGTACAATTGTGTGTACCGACTGAACGGTTGACCAGCTGCCATGAGGGGGTTGAATTCGGATGCTACTGAGAACGGGACACCGGATCCCTAGAAGCCAGAACCCTGGGTGGACGAGGTATGCATGCTTGTTACTTGTACCTGAGATAGTGTAGGGGTTGAACCTGGCGTCTGCTGTAAAAGTTGATTGAAGATCAACGGTTGTTGTTCGAATAGTGACACGTGAGACAACCCTATCGTGGAGGCATGTGGGTGGACCATCGGGTGATGTTGTGGCTATGGCTGAATGGTGTGAGGAATCCAAGTTCCGGTGTCAGAAGTGTGCATGAATGATTGTTGTTGTGAGGCATGGATCTCTGTTTGTTGCGTTGTGATGATCTTTGGGGTTGTAGTTACTATTCCTACTTGCGGATTTGTGCCGGCTGTCGGGCGCCATAGGTTGGCTATGTAAGTTGCCACCGTTTCAGCTGTAGAGCTGAATGGTGTCTATGAGACCGGTGTGCGGTTTGAAGCATGCTCCTCCTGAATAGAAGTTTTCCCACCATCAAGTGACTGTATTAAGTGCAACGAGATTTTTGTCGTTGCCCCTGATGTAACTGGGATATCACCTTCCATTGTTGCTTTCTTGGTTTGCTTTGTGGATGTATCTTTCTAAAGATACACTCGGATGGTGCCAAATGTTGTGATATGCTGGAGAGGATTGATTTGGAACGGTAGGGGAGATCCGTGCAAGTATCTTCTCCTGTTATCAAAGTGAAAAAGAGACAAACGACCGTTAGCTGATGTCTGGGAGGAGTTCCTCGGATGAAGCTCTAACGATCAGGTTAGTGAGAAATCTATGAGAGATTGTAAAACATTACAAAATAGACAGAATTCCGTCCTTATCTTAGTTTTAAAGAAGGATCCTTTTATACCTAGTTGAGCGGTGTGTCCCTCAACTCATTCTGTTGAGCATTCCCTTATTAGGAGCGATGTGGCGAATCCATATTGGAGGATCCTTCGTCACGTCTTTTGCCTCCTTCCCTCATTGGCTAGAAGGATATCTTTTATTTGTTATGAAGATTGTGGCTATCGTCTAATGGGTGAGTGGGACTCTCTACTTGGTCCCAAATTTGTCGGGATATAATTTCTGGTGATAGAGTTAAGGCGCTACTCTACACCTTAACCGCCATATTGGTGATATTTGCATTGGTGAAGGCCCAGACTTGGCCTTACACTAGGCTCTGGCCAGTCCAAGTCCAGTGTTAGTTTAACTTCTTTTTTTGATGTTCCCCTAAGGGATACGTTAGCAGCTGGCTACTTGGCTTATATGGTGGATACACGTGTCAGGGGTGAGGTTTTAGTTTCCGACATCCTAGTTGTCATGTAGTTTGTAGATGTATTCCTATACGAGTTGCCCAGTGTGCCTCCCGAGAGGCAGGTTGAGTTATGATTGACCTTGTGCCAGGTGCGACCTCGATCTCCAAGGCTCCGTACCACTTGGCACCGTCTGAGATGCAAGAGCTGTCATCTCAGCTGCAGAAGCTGCTAGGCAAGCAGTTCATCAGACCGAGGAGTTATCCGTGGGGAGCGCTGATTTTATTCATCAAGATGAAGGATGGTTCATACCGAATGTGCTGATTACCGAGAGTTGAACAAGCTAACAGTGAAGAACCGTTATCCCCTTCAACAGATTGATGATCTCTTTGATCGGATGTAGGGAGCATCTTGGTTCTCCAAGATAGATATGAGGTCTGGTTACCATT